AGGTATTTAAAAGATGTGTAGATGTGGTGCTTGAGTACATGGTTTAGTGGTGGACTTGGCAGTGATAGGTTGATGGTTGGACTCAATGATCTTAAGGGTCTTTTCCAACCTTAATGATTCTATGATTCTATGATTCTACTTTTAGAAGAAAATAAGCGATAAAAACCTTATATTTCTGACTACAATTAGTTTGGGATCTATTTGTTTATCTGAGAGCAAAGGGCTTCAGAACTCACTTTAAAAAGTATATTTCAATTCTGATTTAAAGTAATCTTAAGAACACTGCAAATTTTCTTGGTAATTTCTTGTCCTTTTAGAATGTGTTGAAAGACATCCACAGGGTTTATCTGACTATAACAGCTGTCACACTGTGCCAGTATCCAGTATATAGATCCTTTAAGCTTACAAAAATATTTTAGTGGCATATGTATGAAGTGTGAGTGTTCTCAGTTTCCATTAAATAAGCAAAACAATTCCAACGATGTATGCTTTTTCATAGAGTAAATACAGTATTTTTTTATCTTTGATGTACTTACCTAGGAAAGTTTAAGAAATGCTTAAGGAACGCAGTTCATGTGCATTGGCATGGGTTGATTACAGTTGGTTGTTTTCTTTAAAACTATGTCTTTTTCATTCCAATTTCCTATTGTCTATCCTTGGATTTTAAGCCTAAGGGAAATGACTATTCTAGCACATCACTGCCTTTACCATAGCAATTCCTGTGTATCTATCTTAATTTATTTTTCCTGTTGATGTCTTATAGGAAGAAAATCCCTGTGTTCTCTGTTTGGGGCTCTGGCAATCCCCTAGCTATGATTATTTTGCCTCTGTCCACTCAATAGAGTAATATTTTGGAAGGCGTCAGAAAAAATAAATGACTAAGCATTTAGAATGTGTAAATTATCTTAGAAATGGTGAAAAGCCTTTTGTATCTGATGTTCAGAGATTTCACATGTCCAGTTTTACATTTACAACAGAAATTATGTAAATAATTGCTCTGTACATGTAATTAGCAGAAATTCACTGAACTGCCTGTCAGAAAAAATGCATCAAATACCTTCCATTGTATTTGTAAGTATGCTGGCTATACTCATTGCTCTTTGTCTTGCAGCAGAATCTTCCAGCATTTCCATGGAAATTTGATAAGAACTCAGTCTTCTTTTTCTTATTTCTGTTTCTGTAGTGGTGCCCTGTAAATGAAATACTGAGAAATTAAACCATCCTTTTCAACAGCCAATTAACGATATTTACTGTATAAATATTGTAGTGATAAAATCAGCTTTGTGCAGCATACTAGACTTTTCTTACACACTAAACATTTCTGTTCCTGTAGGAATTTCTTTGTTTTTTATTGAGGAACTCAGTGGGAATTTTGTACAGTGCTACAAATAATCACCCGGGGGACACAATTCCAAGGCAATGTGGGATCAGAAGTGCTTCTCATTTAAATGATTGAGTGAACAAAATTTTTGCTAGGTATCTTTTTGCTAGTGATTATTATTATTCTTTCAGGAAACAATGATCAAAGTTGAAACCTGTCACCTTGATTTCCAGCAGCTAGTCATGTTAAATAATTAAAGTGTGAGTACAGAAAAAAGCGAACTATTATTTAAGAAAGTAACTCTGATACAAGAAACATGAGTATAATTCTAGGAATTAATTATCTCTCTAATACTGTGTACTGCATTCCTAACCTGATAAGTGTGGTTAGAAGATTTTATATAAGAAAAAAAATCACATCTTATTTAATATTTCTTCTACCTAATTTTCACCCACTGCAATGCTTATGCAGAATTTGTGATATATTCTTGCAATGAATATGCAAGTCCTCTCTGTTTTGTATGGCTTCTAATTATCTTTTCAAAGCAATAATACCTGGCTCTGATTCAAAGGTGCCTAACGTGTCACTACTCTGTAGCATGTAGGTGTCCTTACAGTTGCTTTGCTTTTCTTCTGGAGTGTGGCCTAGGGATCTAAACACAGGAGTGGGATTAAAAAGTTCCTAAATCTTGGTTCCTGCTGTACCACTGATTCTGTGATTCATGGAAACCACTCACTCTTTTTCTCATTATTCTGTCCCCATCCAGACAAAGAATGAAAAAGTCTGCAGAACTCATAAGGGATTTCAAGGTTATCTTAGTGTGAAGATGAAAAAAACATTTTTGAGCATTCACTAGTACTATTTCTTTAGAGAAGAGTTCAGTTAAAAGGCTAAATCTTTCTTCAAGTGAACGTATTTCTGAAATAGAACTATATACGCATAACCTCTGAGGTAATCTGATTGAATTTCTGGTATGAAAGTCTGTGTCAAGATAGGAGAGAAACAAACATAAAAAGAAATGTGTAATAGTAGTAATGAAATCTCAATACTTATTTATAATGAAAATATTTTTCAGGTTAAATATAGTGCTATTATAGCCGCCAAAATACCATACTGAATCCACATTAAAATACTATGTATGAGATAGCTTGCTTTTTTTAAATTTGAAAGAACATCTTAGCTTACAGAAGTCTGAAACTGAGACTGAAATGTAATGTAATTGGAACGGTACATGGGAACTGTACGTATTTTTCTCAAGAAAGTCATGAGAAAAAAAAATCTTCAAGATTAATTCAGTAGGGGGCATTTCTATTAACTATCATGGGAGTAGTAACTGCATTCTGCTTAATTTTGCAGGTGTTTTCCTATACATATTTCCAAGTTTATCCTTAGTTATATATCAAATGTCTACCTTTGTTGATGAGGTGAAACTATATACAAATTGTCAAATTCAATTTATGTTTTTTTCTTTCTATGTGCTGAAGGCAAGGAGAATACAATACTTTACTGAGGCTCAGACATAGGAGGTTGAGGACTTTCTTTCTCTTATGTTCTCTTATTTAGAAACTATTGCAAGTTCATTCCCATAGCTCTAAGAAATGATCGGGCATGCAGAGGTGAGCAGTAAGAAAAAATTCTGTGCCTGAACCAAACTGCAACAATTACTAGTTTACTTATAATTACCTCTGGTATAAGCTGACCAGTAGGTGAAGTTAGAGTTGAAGGTCCTCCAACCAAGGAAACTACTCCATTGCAATCCACAGTGCTGTGCATCTTCCCATTTACTGGAAGGGCTGGTACCATTCTAGATGACACACTTGCCTGACTAATATTACTGTTGCGCCGTTCTCCGTGTCGATTTGGAACAAAGAGAGAATCTCTTCTGCTCTCATTGTCTTCAAGAGTGCTGTGCTCATCATCAGCAAAGTCATTTTCAGATCCTATATCCTTTGCACGACCTCTGAAACTGAAAATGCTTGTTTTGCTGTTGCGCCTTGGTGAGAACAGGGAACCACGAATGCTTAGCAAAGACTGTAAAAGATTTAAAACAAAACAAAACAAAACAGCATTAGAACTGAAGTTCAAAGAATAGTCACAGTGCTGGAGGAAGGATAGTCACTTTTTTCTACAATAGTATCAGTGTGTCCATTAGGGGAATGTGCTTATTAGGGGACCTGAAGTAGAGGGGAAAAAATCTTTTTAAGGTAATGTAGCAGGTCTGAGGAAAAGTTGCGCAGAAGACATAAGGGTGGGCAGTTTTGAGCAAAGAAGGCAGGTTGAATTGGTATGGGTCCATGACTGTGCTGGAGACAGTTCTCAACATCATTACCAGAGTTTTGCAGGTATTTGCCTTTTATTCCTTCTTCTATTAGAGGACAGAGTTAAAATCTTTTACTTTTCTTCCCTTCTTCATCCCCTGGATTCCTAGGGATAACAACTGATAACGCTCACCAATCGTTGTTTTCTATTCTATTTGCTAGAGGCAGAAGTGGTCTTAAGTTTGGTATTAAATTCAGTCTAAGTTGATGTAAAGAACTTGTCTGCTCTCTTCACAATAGGCTCAATAATGTAGGAACAACATACACAGTACTCTAAAACTAGAAGACAGAGGCAACAGCTTGGGGAAGCTCTGGAGGTACAGTGTGAACGTGACTAGTAGCACTCTTGGACGTAGCACTCTGGGGGCTATAGCAGGCTGCACACCTACTGGAAGGTACCACTTGGGCATCAGGCAGCTCAAAGCAAGCATTCACCAGGGACACAGTTACCTAAAGATATCCTCTTACAAATGAGAAAAATAAATCAGTGGTTGTTGGTAATTCATCTTTTAATTACAGTAGAAGCTGGTTAACGGAATGTTCTTCTCCCTTGCTACATATTTTATTAACAGCATTCATGAATAAATAACAAGAGTACTAATTGTGGAAAAAAGGAACCTTGCATTAGGCTTTCTTCAATTCTGCATTTGTACAAATCTTCGCATCTTGGTACATCAAAAACCTGGTTTGAGATGATTTTCAATTTTTCACTAGTTTTGAAGGTGGGAAGTGCTCATATGTAATAGCAGTGTTTTTAACCCCAGGATAATTAAAGTGAAAACTGCACTATGGTATATAAGCCTATAATAATACTGTGAAAACCAAACACTGAATATATACATATATCAATCCATATGTATCTCTGTATATGCATACTCAGATTTATACAGACACACACACAATGTGTGTGCCGAACTGGTAGTACTGCCTGTTATGAAGGCCGGCAGGTGTTTACCATTATCAGATGCACTTTTGCTGCTCTTACAGCTACACCACATTTTAATAATTTGGGCTGAAATTTTCTATGCTGGCTGTCAGCCTCAGGCTGAGTTACTTGAAGAATATCAGCCAAATGGTTTTGCTAACCCATTTATGTAAACTTGGCTGGAGAAAAAGTGCTGTTTTGCTTATGCTGAAAGATAATTTTATCTAAAAAAAAAGCTCTAGCTGCTATAGAGCATGACACCGAATTCTGACAAAGTGGTAAACTAATTACTGCACCCTTTGTACGTTTCTTTGTAAATGTATTTGGCCAACCTACAGTCCTTCGAAAAATAACACGCTCACTAGGTTTCATCTGCTACCACTGCTACCCTTGTTTTTTTTAGAGAATGTTTCCATGGCTGCTATGTTTTGTTTGTAGTCCAGTCTTTCCAATATGTGTTATCATGCTCTGAGCACAGCTAAATGGATCAGGCCCCTCAGGGATTTGGGAGGAGTAATGCCTGCTCTGCACATCCCTGCTGGATTCAGACAAAAGATATAAGCCAAAATGGCTGCAATTCTAACACATGTAGAGGCAGAAATGTATGTATGTGTCTACATGCTCCTGGAAAGTCAGGTCTGAAAGGAAAGCTTGGCTTTTCTTGCAGGCTGCATCATTCATTTGCACATGGAATATTGTGTCAAAGGACAAAACCTCTCCAGGGACCGCGTGGGCAGATTATCTCCCCTTACCATTCTACCACGCTGTTTCATGCTCTGCCACCCTGCTTCACCAGGGAGCTAACTGCACGGCTAGCAAGACAAACCAGCTCTTCCTTTGCCAGTTCTACTGCCCGTAATCCTTCCACTCTGGCAGCTCAGTTTTATTTCAGTTATATGGAGGCAACCTTTGCCCCAAAGCACTTTTGCAACTGCAAAAACAATTACCAAGACAGTCTTTAATTAATAAATTATCCTCGTACAAGACACGTACAATATTTGTTTTCACTTGATTTTAATGAGTTTTAATTAATTATTTCTGCAATATGAATTCACATTTAATTTTAATGTTACCAAAAGTAATTTGAAATCCCTTGCTTTCCTAAGCTTCTTAAGTTTCTGTGGAAGTTTCACAGTTCTTCGCAACAATTGATAGGGTGAATGCTTTCTGAGAGATTCAGAGTGTGAACAAATACATGCAACAATGTTTTACTCTATGTTAATAAAGCTACAGAAAGTTTATTATCTGTGGAATCTCTTTGTCTCTAATTCTTCTCCCCTTAGTATACATGCTTCTGTATTAAGTATTTTTTCTGTGCACCAAAAAATGTATTTAATATAAGCATAATATATTCCTTAATCAGTCTCTTCACCAGAAGCATATAAAAGAGCATCAGGGAATTTAGACTAGACAATGGAGAGGCCTGTTATCAAGTAGTTAAAGCACAGGAGTAGCAGTCAGAAGTTCCTTTCTGCTCAGACTTTGTCAGTGACTCTTCTTTAGTGTGGTCAAGTCACTCGCCATCCTCATCTATGAGGTACAGACATATATATATATCTCTAAGTGAGGCGGGACTGTGCAGTCTAAGATGAGATCTTTGGCTGCAGCTCCTTTGTATCAGCGTGACTCAAAGCCCATTCCAATTAAGGCAAGATTTTTTGGAGCAGCTTTGGCCCAAAACTAATAGTACACTTTATTAAATTGGAAATACACTTCTATAATATTACTCAAAGGAGTTGATATAGGTTTAATAATTTGTTTTTCCTACATTTTATATATTTCTTATCCAGAGAACAACATGGTCATTCTTCTTAATTATAATAAACATTACTTCACTTTCTTAGAAATGCAAATGTATCTTTTTCAGACCAGGCATCATCCCTTATACTTGACTAATTACTGAGGCTTTGTCTCAAATTAAGCTTTCCTCCCCTCAGTGCATATACTTCAGTGTGAAGGATTTCTGCCACTGAATCTCATATTTTTTATGAGTCTGTAAACTAACACACTTGATATGAACATTAAATAGAATAAACATTGGTAGTTAAGCATGGGTAGTATGGGTAGGTAAATGTCATCTGTTGTCTGAGACCAGACATGATCATTTTGAAGAGATGTATTTTGAGTGATTTTTCTACAAATACCATAACTGTGTGTAGACTTGAAATGAGCAAACGTATCCTTAAGCGACGGAAGAGATCCTCTGATTTAAGGTAGCAGAGCTTTGAAGTTTGGAGTAAATGATTTCCAGAGGTGCTTCCTAAACTATTTTTTTCTATGATTGCAATGATTCTTCATCTTGTATAATGAATTTCTAATGCAAAAGAACAGCATGACTAAATTCTTACAAATATAAAGCCCAAACGATCCCTATATATTTTGTCTTTATTGTGGAGTACTAGAGCTACTTTTCTCGTTATCTACCATTTAAAGAAGCTAATTAAGGAAAACAATAGAAACTAATGGTAGTGTGGAATTTCCTATGCAGGGTATTTTGATGATGTGGTCTCCTAAAAACCCCCACATATTTGTATAGTTTTGAAATGGATGCAGAACAGAGAACCTATGGTTGATTAATGCAAATATATGAGTACTATATCAAAGAGTCTTTGATTCTTTCTCCAATCTACCAGATATCAGAAATACATTTTCAGAAATGTTTTAATTAAGTTTACAATTATCCTTGGTATGTTCTTTTTATCTCTTTGTTAATAGAATGGGTCAAACCATACCAAACTGTAACACTGTTAACGGTACTACCACTGTTTTTTCCTTCACTCACCTTTTACATAACTTCCAATATGTAAAGCTGCTGTAATGTGAGTCAAAACCAAATTAGAGTAGACATACATGATTTAATAAAAAAGAGTGCTGTACCTGGTGAGGAGATGTGAACCTTTTTTCATATGTCAGTTGACTTCCTTCTGTGGAGAAGCGGAAACTTTTCCTTCTGATACTGTCTTCTGACTCGGACTTGGGGAACTTGTCAATATCTCCTTTGTCCTCTGCTTCAGACATTTCTTTCTGCCTTCTTTTCTTCCTTCTGTTTCTTCTTTCTTTAGCACTCTTTGAGCTCAACTTTGATGCTTCTGAAGAACTTTCCAAGAGTTCTCCTAATCCCCCTACACCACTGAAATCTCTTGATGCAACTGATGCTGCTGCTACTGCTGCTGTTGCCTGTCAGGTTACAAAGGAAGGTATTCTTAGTAGGCCAAAAATGAACAATTTTATAGGCTTTTATCAACTGTTTTTATTATTACTGTGGTAATACTGCTGGTTGTACACCTTTGAGTATGCAAATAAACACAAACAAATTGAACTGAAGATAAACTATTGAGTTGTATAGCTCCTCATTGTCTACTAGCATGAGCTACTTCAAGCATCGATTTCAGCAGAACAATAGCATCACTATTCCTTAAAGACTTGCCACACGAGACACTGGTCTAAAATTAAGGTAGTCAGAAAAGTATAAACATGGTGCTTTTTCATGTGTTTCAGACCTGCTTCCCCATTTTCTCTCGCAAAAAGCCCCACATCATGCTCTAATTCAGCTGATCCCCTCTGAGTCCTGAAAGAGAAAACTGATCCCTAACATCCACCATATGAGTTAATGTATCATAACCCAACTTGCAGCCTGCAAGTGGTTGAATCCAGCCTTTCGTCACTGTCTCCACAGCAAGGACACTCCCCTCACTTTCCTTCTACCTTCACTGGCAACAGGCACACCCTCTAGACAAGTCTTCAAGCCCTACCTCCCTCTTCAAGTTTCCCCTCCCGCATTTCCCACTGTAGCAGCACTCTGGGTCTTTGTTATAGATACACAAAGGTACACTTATTGCCTGTTGCTGCTGCAGCCAGAGAGAAGAAAAAGTTTAGCTTTCTTCTCTGATGGAAAGGGATGAGATGACTTACTGGAGTGAAGAGCCATCCCAAAACTCAGGACCAGTATCTTCAACCACAGTGGTCACAGTGATTTGGTTCATTAGGGAAACTGGCTCATTTAGTCATCAAATAAAGGAAGAACTGAGAGTGTGTCCAGTACAGTTCCTAGAAAGAACTGTCTGGGAGATTGCTATGAAATTCTGCAGTGGAAAATATGTTTGGGAAGATGATAGGCAGCTGTGAGGTTAGACAAAAGGGTGATGTGATAAATGGCAGGAGACTAGGGTTATATAACAAAGATGACTAGTAATTATCCGGCAAAACATGTTATATTCAATGCCAAGTATTTCAGGAATTATGAGATATCTCTCTACAGCAGGAAAGGATAGTTTGAGAGCTCATAGTATGAATTAATGGCTTTCTGCACCACAATATGCAACACGTGCTATGCAAGTTGACTTGATACACACTTTTCCTGCTAAATGGAGTATTAAAAGGATTCTGAAGTGTTTATCAATTAAAAAAAGTGATATTAAAAATTTTGTCATATTGGTTTCAGAATATTGTCCTTCGAATGCTCTAACAGAAACAAAGGCAGAGGATGCTGAGTCATCACCCATCTACTTCATAATACTAACACTAGAGGTCAAACAAGTGGAGCAATCCAAAGACCACTGTGATGATTTAGGTTTGTGGATGAATAGGTTCAGTGTCAAGGGAGTGAAGGGATGGGTCCCACACCCATTTTCTGTCTCAGCAACCAATTCAACAGCTCAGCGATCCACTTTGTAATGCATACTTTCTGCTTTCACATACAAAAGGGATCTTGACTGTAATACTGCTTGTCTTATAATGAATTGAGTGGTCATTCATTTAAAAAAGGAACGACTTTCCAGGGCCTTTATCCAACCTTCCTTGTAGTCTCTGTTTCATATGGTTCTATTCTTCTTCCTATTTCTGGATCAGCTTCATCTCTGTCCCCACTGTCAAACACACAAACATCTAGAAAAGCCTCCTGATATCTTTTGTTATAATGTGATTTAGTGCCTTTCATGGATGAAAATGTCAGATTTGTTAAAAAAAAAAAAGTATTCTTTGCTGATATTTAAGTGTCTTTTAATTTGAATTTTGTAGGATTCTGCTTTTTCTTTAGTGATTTGGAAGTGAAAAGGTTTAATAACTAAAATAGAGATATACTAATTAGATTTCACAGGTCATGCATAAAGCTTTCTTTTCAAGAAAAAGATGAAGAGTTTCACTTTCTATTAGCACTTTATAGAATCATTCTAACTTAGTGAAAGTAGCTGTAAAATACTACTAAAACTATAGTTTCATAGAAGATTCTAATTTGCTAGCATTTTGTAAACATTGTCCTGTTGAAAATGACTCTACACCAGATGAAAAACAATAGAAAATCAGTCCAGAAATTAGACAGACGTCTGACTCACGGAGCTGAATTCCTGCATATATTTTATTTTCCGATAAGAAAACCTCACACAAAAGTATCTATTAAAATGTCTTTTTCTCATAAGACATTAAATAATTTTCTTCTCTTTTCAAAGAAAACAAAGATTACTTTAAAAGAATTCTGAAGTAATACCTTTGTTACAAATATTGCTAGTATGTTCTAAGGATATATAAACTTCTGATTGACTTCAGTATGCTTGAATTAGGGACATGCTTAAATACCTTGCTGGATAGACACCTAAATGAACACTGATTACAATCCTTCTCTCTATTTTCTGAATATTGGGGAAGAACTATTAAGTACAGCAAGCCCAGAAATTCTCACTCAGACCGTAAACCAGAAGTAATGTCACTAGACTTTTTTCATGCTGTTCATAAGACCTGTAATATAAAAGCAGCATGAACTATGACTACTTAAAGTCAGGTTTCTAGGACACTCTTACCACAAATATTTTATTTTTACAGTCTTTTGGTGAACTTAGTAGCATTCTTTTCTGTACCATTAGCTTGCTTTTTTGCTATTTGGTTAGTTCCTGATTTTCATTGGCTATTTCCACTTTTATAACTTGCGTGGTAAACAAGACTTTTTTCTTCCTGCAATTCATTGCACAATTTTTACATGTTCTAATTCATAAAAGATTATTATGCTTGCCTTAAGAATAAGGCTGTTCAGAAAGTACAATTTCCATCATTACCTGAGCTTCTTCTTGTTGCTTCTTCAGTTGTTCCAGCATCTGTTGAAATTCTGCCTCTTTCTGCTCTGCTTCTTCCATGGTTGCTTGATTCTGTTCTTCGTAGGCCATGGCAACCACAGCCAGGATCAAGTTGATCAGATAGAAAGAGCCCAGAAAGATCACCAGAACAAAAAATATCATGTATGTCTTCCCAGCAGCACGTAGCGTCTAGGGAGTAGAAGGCATATCTATATATTATTCCACCACTTATCTTTGTTACCGCAACAGCATTATGCTTTCAGCTCATGTACAAATAAGCCTATTTACATAATTTTGTATGTCACCTACAGTTTACTTTTTATGTCATAAAAATTTCTTACCAACTGATACAGGTTTTCCCAGAAGTCCTGAGTCATTAGCCGAAAGAGTGACAAAAAAGCCCAGCTGAAGGTGTCGAAACTTGTGTAACCATAGTTGGGGTTTCTACCAGCTTTCACACATATATATCCCTCTGGACACTGCCTATGTGAAAACCAAACAGGTTGTACTTAGTCATAATTTTTATTTCCTTCCGGAACATATTTATTATCTTTTGGAACAATATGCATTATTTGTCCACAGGAAATCCATGAATTACAATTAAATTCATTCAGAAAAAAAAGTCCTAAGGAATGAACTAATAAGAGAGTAAATGAAAGATATCCTTTCCATTCATTCACTGGTTGAAATGACCTAAATATTTAAATTCTCCTCAGTCACATTTTGCAAATAAAATTTTTATTCCAGATGAATAATTTCCTGGAAGAAATAATTGCTAAAATGTTGTTAAGGTTACAGACAGATTAAACAACATTATTAGCTAAATCCAATTACACTGTTAGGGTTCTCCCACATAATGCTGAGATTTTTTTTTTTTAATAAGCTTCTTGACTGTTGCCAGTTAGGTATCGGAGTTAAGCTAACAGTTCTAGGCTCATAATTGGGCACGTGTGTATGGCAGACTTTGCCAGTAATGAAAAAGAGTTAGCCTTGATAAAAAAGATTCATCTTGAACTATGAAGTCACTACTGCGCTTTCCTAATATTTTACGTGTTCTCTTTCTCAGTTCTAACCTTTGCTTTCATCCTATTTTCTTCAATCAGTACATCTCCAAAACAGAGTTTACAAGAGTTCAGATTTTATCATTAACACCAACATCATTTCCCAATCAAGCAGGAAGAAAGGCTGTTAATGAGTATTTTGTTTAGCCAGAGAGTAAAATACTTTGACTCTAAATAAGAAATCATTGTTTAGCAGCAAAACTCTGTGAGTTCTGTAACACTGTTAAATATGGAGTTGCAACAGAGAGGTTTCATGTTATTGCTTTTTCTACAGAACATAACAGAGGATTTTTGAAAGGGTCTTACCCCGCATCAGAGCTATTACCACAAAGTAGGGCATCTCTTTGTCCTTCCAGAATGTAAAAATGAGCTGTGTAGAAAGCATTAGAAATATATGTGAATAAATGAAATGAACCTGAAAGTATTACAAAGTAAAATAAAAATAAATTATAATAAAATCAAAGTGGCTAGCTGCTGATCACTTTGTAGTTTGTTTAGGAACCTTTCTGGTTATTGTACTTGTTTATTGTATTTGATCTCTGTCGGTCAGTGACTGTAAGCAGTTATGCATAAGGCAGAAATATAAACCGTTCAATATTCTTTTTTTGATCACAGATAGTTACATACTATAGCCACAAATATATTAAAAATAGTTATATCAGTCATTCTTACTTTCATCCTCAATGTAATCCTTCCAGTTAAATGTGCTCACTGTCATATTAACAAATGTACCATTTTCATCCATTGTGCTATTAAAGTAGGAAATAACAGTTGTTTCAAAAGTAGAATTGTCTGGAGGCCACTGCAGGCATTTATTCCTCAAGTTGCCCATGAACAGCTGCAGCCCTATTAGTGCAAATACACTCAGACAAAACACAGTCAGGATCATAACATCTGAGAGCTTCTTCACAGACTGAATTAGGGCTCCTACAATAGTCTTTAGGCCTGCAAAGAGAAAAGATCCATAGATTTATCAAAGAGTATCTTTGTCCTTCCCATATAATTAAGATGTCATGCAGACACTTAAAAGAAATTATTTTTTATTTCTCAAAAAGTAAAGCTTCATGAGCAGCCTCAGAGCTTGTGAAGATGAATGAAAGAAAAAGCTTTTTTTATGAATATGCCATGTACATATATTCCAATAAACCGAATATATAATGTTATTCTCAAACAGGAAATTTTATCAATCATGCTTTCCTGTTATAGATTTGATTTTATTTCTTAATTTTTCTCTGCATTTAATATTCAGCCAATAATTCAGTTTCCAGTTAATATTAAACATGACTTCACAACAGTATGAAGATAGTATGAGATAGAATTGCAAGTACTTTTGAAGAAAAAAAAATCATTTGCATTTGATAAATTTTCCTGTGCAATATTTATCTCCTTTTTGGTAGCTTTTTTGTTGTTACTTGGTTGTCTTTAAGACTAACGTCAATTTTAAGTGGTAAAATAAAGGAAAAAATTCAAAATCAAGGAAGCCATAACGCTAAAGCTTTTTTAATGTAAAAGAGACAACTTGTTGTAATAAAATGCAGAAAAACAAAGCAAAATAACCCATAGGCCTCATATTTTATGTTTCATGCAAGAATCTGTTAAACTCAAAGGCTGATTTTGCAAAATAAAAGAAGCTAATGCTGGAAGGGCAAAGAATCATAATCCAGGCTTATGATCCATCCCTTTTTTTTTTTTTTTTTTTTTTTTTGGCAACACGAACAGCAAACAGCAAGACTTATACTCAAAAGAAGTGAATTCGACTTCAATGGAATGAAAGTCAGCCTCGGTGTTTAACCTCGCTCTCACCTGGAATGACTGATATTGTTTTCAAAGCTCGGAGAACTCTGAATGTTCTCAACGCTGAGACATTGCCCAGGTCCACAAACTCTGTCACATATCTGTAATAGGGGAGTTCACACACAAACACAATGACAGCACACAAATAACAGTTGGCGATACGAGGGGCCTAACACCTTACACCAACTACTTCTTACCTGGAATTACAGAAATAGTTTTCAAAGCTCTCAATACTCTGAAAGTTCGAAGAGCTGAAACATTGCCTAGGTTTACAAATTCTGTTACATACCTGTAGGATTAAATCACAGTTATTCAGAATTGAGGCAGAGCTTATACTAATTATGTGGGTCTTCAAAACCTCTGTGGCAATATTAGCAATCATACTTCAAAATTTACCTGTCTCTTCAGTACACCTTGCTTTTCTAATTGTTTATTTTCGTCAATTTTGCTTAAATTTCATTGAAGTGAAACTCACTGATTTGTATTTGAACAGCTAATGAAACTAATTAGCTTGTAATAGGACGGTGACATGAAGTCAAAGGGATGGCTTCCATTCTGGTGAGGAGAAAAATGTAGGACATGAAATTAGCGTCCCTCAGCAGTAATTACACTAGTGGCTGACACTCCGTGCTGGCTCCTGCCATATTTTACTTTGATTTATGAGTACTAAAATGTGTGATACAGTGTCTGCCTTCACAGGTTGCAGAAATTAAATACTTTTAAATCAATATATTAATTATAATAATATTTGCCACTAATTTCATGCCCTAAAAGCTTAAAAAGTTCTTGAACCACTTACGCCATTAAAATGACACTGAAGTCAAGCCAGTTCCACGGGTCTCGCAGAAAAGTAAAACCTTCTAAGCAGAAGCCCCTTGCAAGAATTTTGATAAGTGATTCAAAGGTGTAAATTCCAGTGAAGGTGTACCTGAAAAGCATCAAAGCAGGAATAATGGATTTTCGCATACTTATGCTTATAGACAGTGCCATTCTTTATCAAAGATGACTTACTAGAAAAGAAAAGAAAAATTATTTAGAGGTGAAAGGAAGAAATCGTTAACTTAACTTGCCCCAAACACTTAAGAATGTAATTGTTGTTCAGTAGATGAAATTTGAACCTGACACATATATGCTATTCATTTTCTAAAAGGTTGATTTAACCTCAGTTTTTGTGCTTGCAAATAATTTCAGACTCTAATATTTATAGATACACTTCAGACTTTTATATTTATACGTACATTCTCTGGCACTCACAGGGCTGCCTCTGTGCTTGCATTCACAAATCAGGTAGATGTCTAAGTGTTACAAAAAATGAAGACTTTTTTATTTCAAAATCAGAGAGTTTTGTGAAAATCAGTTCTGGATAATAACTATACTCATGCCTATAATACAGGTTTATTTCATAAATAATCATTAAATATAAGAAAGCATGCCCAGACTCTTATTCTTGAAGATGTGGAGCATGATTACCAATTTACCTGGTGTGGGAACAGCTGTTCATTTAAAAACATAGAATAGTCAGTTATAACCAGTGTAATTCAGGGACTTCCTGAGACCCACATGGGTCTGTGTGGACCTCCAGAATAAAGAAAATCTACCTACAGACCCTACTGCTCTCCTTTCAGACTCTCAGCAACCCTAACAAGCCATAGTCACGGTTGAGCATACTGGGAACACATGAATACTGGTGCAGTTTCTAAATACAGCATTTAGAGTAAGATTCCTTAATGCAGTGAAAGAAATAGAAATCAATAATGGCTGTTGGAGAACGTGAGGGAATGAAAGAAACCACAAGCAGTTAGAACTAGGTTTTTCATGAGTAATATTATTTCAAAGAAAAACATAATATTTCAAAGGCAAATGTGTATCTGCATTTTGTTAGAGAACAAATCTGCATGTATACCCATGAACAAGAAGGAGAAGCAGAGATACTTTGTCGTTTCCTTACTTCTATGAACTCTTTGTTGCTCCTTCATAGGCAAGGCCCTTTCCTCAGCAGTTCGAGCTTCTCGTGGTTTGGGTGTTGTGTGTGCTTGCTGTGGCTGGCACTTGTAATTCACATCAGTGAGCCACGATGAATGTCCCACTGTGCTACGATCATGGATACTCAAGCAATATATGGCTGGCCTCACCAATGACACACAACGATTTTACATGTGCGCCTGAAGTTCTGGAGCTCCTTTTCCAATTTACAGTTTAGAACACCCAAGGACAAGAGCTCGTGTTCGTACTTCACAGTGGAAGTTCAGATATCCCTCAGACATAATTTTAAAGAACAAGGCATTAAGCTTGAAGTATTTAAATTATCCAGGAGGAAAGCAGAAAGATATTGATGATCTCAGGAAATCTAATTCTTCATGACTCTGGAAAAGCCCATTCCATGCAACTTTCCAAAAATGCTTCTTGTTTGGAGCCACACTAAAACAAAGTAGTAAAAATGAAGAAGTAAAATGTTTAACTTACTCTACATTCTTTGTCCAGTCTGGAGGGTTACTCATGGTCATAAATACACAGTTGGTCAAAATAGTGCACATGATAAGCATGCTGAATAATGTAGATTATAGTCAAGGGATGTAACTCAGAAAAACATGACAGTTTTATAACACTGAAATAATTAAAAATATTAAGTGTATAAAAATATGTACAAATAACATGATATTCTAAATACAATTTGAAAATAAAACTTTGCACATAATTTTATCTATTTTAAATGATATGCCATCTGGCATGTTATAGTGCACTTACTGTAAAACAATGCATTACTTTTATAGTTATGGCAGGGGTAGAATTTAAATGAAACTGAAACACATCCTTAAGTCTGTAAAAATATGAAATGAGTACCCAGACATAATTACTCATTGAAGCCAGGGGGATCTTTCTAAAAGATCTTTAGGCAGAGGCTGGTTGTTTATGCCTAAGCTGTTCTTTGGACATGATTGAAATATATTTGAAAATATTCTCTTTTATTCTGACCTGGATCTTTTGTAGGATGCCTACCCCAATGCTGAAAACACAATGCTGAAAAAGTATGCCTGAAAAAGCAGCTCTTTACTCATGCTCTTTTGTCCTTGCTAAGTGAGTCTAGTTCATGAATAGTACTACTGGTCTTGGTAAAAGTGTGACCTTAGATATGTTCAAGTGCAATGGTTTGTTACTAATTTGGCCTTAGCTGCAGGGCTTAGTATGGGATCAGGTCTCCATTTGTATATAAAGCCTGATATTTAAACTCTGACAGCTTTAGGTGGTTCAGCAAAGAATCCTCTTGGTAGGAATGAAGATCATACTGCAATTCACATGTGGTATTGCGGCTTTTTAAGTGTGATCAGCATAGGTTTAGTTAGCATAGTACACCCACATGGACATAATTTGTATATCCTTATGAAAAGTATTATTTCAGTAATTAAATAGTTTTAAATGGCAACCCTTAAATCAACATTAGGAAAAAAGGATATGAATGTACCAAAATCTTGATAGCAATTTTTCTGATGGGATTAAAAGGAGTTAAGATGTACAAGGCAGATGTGGCACTGAATCGGAAAATTGCCTTTCCCTTATTCAATACTATGAAAGTCTGCAAAAAAGAAATACAAAATTAAAATATGATGTTGACTACATAAATGTCTTTACCTCCTTCTAAAGTATTCCATTCTTCACCTAGGAGGTTCAAGATCTGTTCTACTGTCTACCTGTGGTAGGAAAATAACTGATTTATATGAATACAGTGGATTAAGCCTTCCACAGCCAATTCCCCAATTTGCTAAATTTCTGAATTCTGATATTACTAAAATTGGTGGGAATCATCAGTACTAATGACAGTTTATCAATAATAGCAAAATGCAGCATTTCATCACTAAAATATTTTCGATTTTATTTCTAACGAAGTCTTTGATTAAAGTCAGAGTTTCAAATTAATCAAATACTTTCTACCTTGTGCAAACACTGACAAAACCAAAACAGCAAAAGGGCAATTCTAAACGCCATTTTGTATTGGGAACAAATACTTGACAGAATTATATACACATATATATGGTGACAAGGACAAACACCTGTCACTAAACAATTAACCATAATTTTAAAATAATTTTGCTTTCATTTTAGATTTTTAAATACTACCAATATAAATTATATATGTCTTCTAAAAATGTATTTGTGAAAAAATAAAAGGGGTGAATAAATTGCCAGCTGACATTCTGAGAAGTCTGAGACAAATGTACACCAGAATTTGGTATCTTACAACAACAAATCTTTTCTTCAAAAAAATGCTGTTTTCATTTTTAACTATATGCTCTTATTTTCCCTATATGTGAGCACCAAATGTAGGTAGTTATTATCATTTAAAATTTGACCTGATAAACCTACAGTTCGTGTTCACTTTCATTCTGTTCCTGTTGGCGGTCATCGCCTAAGTGTTTTCATTTTTATTCCAAGTGTATTTGTGTGTGAGCTTTACTTGCATCTTTGGTGCTGTCTGAAATTTCTTCAGGACATGACTATTCTTCATGCCTTTTGCTCTTTGTCGATGGTAATGGCTCTGCTTTGTGTTACCATAATAGAGTCTTTGTTACGCTCTCAGCAGAGCTATATAGTATCACTGTTCTCCATGTTGATTTCCATTCTCCGTAAAAACTTGGCTGTGATCAGAAAAACGCTGCCCTCTCCGTGGCCTTTGCTGCCTATCTGGTCTGCTGTCTCTGGGAGAGAAAGCAAACCACTCTACAGTGGGGAAGAAGACAGGTAAAGGAGTGTTGCTGGTGCCTGTTCACAGAACGATATCGAGCGTAGCACTGAGGATGACAGTGAATGGACTCACACTCATTGGCATTTCCCTCTGCCCTACGGTCCTTCACCCAGCTAGAAATGGTAGAAAGATGTTGCCTGTCCCAAGGTTGCTGCTGCAGCAGAGCCTGAAGACAGACTCCAGTTCACATATGATTTTCTCTGCATTGACAAGTCGATGATTAAGAGTAGTTTCTGCTGCAAACTGGAGGAGGGATGACTAATTCTAGTTCATCATTTAAGATGTCCATTTGTTTTCTGTTGAGCCCATTAGGCTGGTACGTAACATAAATACAGATGTCACCTGTGACAAAAGATTCTGCAGTTTACTAATTACTCTCATAGACTAACAAGTCCATCAGTAGCCTGAGTTTTTACACTTTTGTTCCAAAAAGTCTGACTACTTTTTCTGATCATTGGAGGTTAGAAAGCATACTTCAGTACTTCTCAGGTTTTCTGATACTTCATTTGTAGAAGACTTGTTTAGAAAACTGTAGTCCCAAACTTATTTATGCAACTTTATTCCTGAATTGGTTTGCAGCTAGTCAGAAAAAGAGCTTAGTGCACACAATTATATTATAAGTAAGAATCTGCATGGAACTGTTGATATAACCAAAACCATATAAATGAAAATAGCCCTTGGCAACAGTCCCTCTCTGAGCTTTCATTTCTTTAAATTTCCTTAATAATGTTAATATTTGCATTATCTACAGCACTGTTTATTTAACTTTGGCAACTGTTAGGTTATGCAATTACATATGGATTCTGCTTTATTTTCCGTTCCTATTACTGAAGTCATAATTTTTAAACCAGTTTTGTGAACCAAAGGCAACCACAAATTTAGCCACAAAATTGAGAGCACTATTGGCATGATTTTTTCCTAACAACAACAACAACAACAATCTTTCTTTACCGCTTAAAATATTTTATGTCTTCCTTTTTTTATAGTTGCTCAATATCAACTTTCTTATCTGGATGGCAGCCTGGAATGCCTCAAGCTGTCATCAGAGCAACTGTGTCCGTTTCCTCCTCTGTTTCAGAGAGATGAGGAAAGATAATCCCAAGCACTTGTCCATAAAACACCTTCTGCATTTTTTAATTTATGGTTATTATCCACAGCTTCATCTTCCTTCACCCTCCTTACCCACAACCCTTTGCAGGTCTATCAGGAACTGGGAGAACATCTCGAAAAGGAGCATGCAGAAATAAGCACATAGAGAGTACAGAGGAGAACCTGCTCTTACTGTCAGCTGTACCTTTTACTGTGCAGGATATAAGGTATTTTTAACTATTCCCAGGCTGGACTATTTCAGATCTTGGAGGAATTTAACACAGTCTACAACTAATCCCAGCTACAGAGGTGTACTTGTTTATTCCTTGTCTTTCTCTTAAGTCATATAATGGTAGTCTGTTTCCAGATTTTATGTATCATTGCTACAAGACCAAAAACCATATACTCTGCTGCAGATCCTGACTTTTAAAAAGGTCAAGGGGCAAACATTTTACTTGAATGGATCTGTTTGAACTAGTCTTTCTATCTCCAAGCCCCTGGCTTGCAGATCATGTGAAAATGAGGACTTTGTATGACTGTGCAAATCAGAAGGGGAAATACACCTCTTTTAGGAGTTTAAATTCTTCATGGAGCACAACTATGCTATGAATGGTCCAGTTGTGCTATAGCCTCACACATGTAACTCAGGCATATTACGTTTCTCTCATGATACGTAACTCTGCTCTGCTCTTCCTGCATGAAAACTCTCAATTAGTCTTCAAAACAACAAAAATGTCTTTTTTCGATTCCTTCCTCGAAACCTAGCTTTTCTGTGGTGTCTGCCACAGACTTCTAATTGACAGCTGTGCAGCAGAGAACTATCATAGCAATCCCAAGCACCTTAAGCAACAGTTTTCATTGTGGTAGTTTTATATGACCCAAGATTTACACAGTCCTATATGCTACCTATATATGTAGATATGTTTTTACATACACACATAGATATATGTTTACATATGTTATATAGCTATAACAGAAGCAAAGAATACAGTTACAGTCCTTTATCTCACTAACTTGGATGGATGCTACCTGATTATCTACAACCATCTCCACTGCAAAATCATGCTTGGAACACCTCATTTGTCATATCCAGTCTTACTGTTACATTGAAATCAGGAAAATTTTGTCATGTTCTCAAGTTCAGGCAAGCTCAAGGAAGCTTATCTTCCTTACACTGAGGTAAATAACAAGTACCTCAACGGAAGCTGAAGGATTCACATAGAAGAGCATAAATCAGTTCTGTTAGATGAAAGAATGTTTCTGTATATTTAGTGGCTTGATATAACTATCTAACCATCATATTTTGTGATCAAACTTTTGTAATGTAGAAAATTATATTCTCTTTTGTGCAATAGATTATTCACTCACTTTTTTATTGATATAATATGGGTCCAGGTCTTCCAAAGGTTCAGATACCATTCCTGGAGGTATGTCACCGTAAATAAATGGCAGTGTCTTTCCTGCCTCCAAGTCACTGTTTGGTTTTGGACCATTTTCATCATCATCATCTGTATGTTCTTGCTTGGGCTTTTTAGCTTTTTCTTCTGCAGAACGCTTTTCAATAGCTGCGAGAGACTCTCTAGTAAAATAGCGGAAACTTTCAGGTCCTGGTGGTACCAGCAGTGCCTGTGCCATGTTTTCATCCTGCAAATTTAATTACTTTTAGCCTCTTGCATAAGAATGACCTATAAAAGGAAATCAGATAATTTAGGAAAACTAGATTGTACCAACAGCAAAAAAACCCCAACATTTGCTCAGAAATGCTTTCCAGGCCTGAAATAGAAGCAGCATATTTCAAAGCTGAATAAGAGTTAAAAGCAACTGCTCAGAATTTATTTAGATATTTTATAAATTATTTTTCAGCTTTTTCCTGCTGGTCTAGAAAAAGACACTACTTCTGCCCACAAACACTGCTTTGCCTATGTCCTTAGACTTTCCCAATTAGAGCAAAATACTGGCACAATTTTTTTAACAGTGTATCTTTTTTTAACAGCAAATATAAATGCATATTTTATGAAGTACTCTTGAAAATTGTAAACCTATATTTTACTAGTTAATACATTTTATCTTCCTATATTTTTTCAAGTATCAGTAATCCAACTTTATAAAGTAAATACTTTCATTAAATGAAAAAAGTTTTTGTACAATTAACGCTGTTTATATGACAGCAGCTGAATTATGGGAGGAACAAGCGCAATTCTTTCTTACTGACAGTTTACTGTGCTGAAGGTTAATGTTGGATACCAAAGCAGGTTAGGTTGCGTTTATTGACTGCCTGTGAGCTGTGAATCAAAACCACAAGCCTTTTAAGTAAAAGGAAACAGGATGTACAATCAAGACCATGTGGGAAAAGAATGCTGCTCCTGATTTTCTGCAAGGCAAGTGTCATAATATTATTTCAGACTAAAACTAGTTTGAAATTTAAGACTCCGGTTCCCTATGAATGTCTTTGGTGCCAGTGCTGGTTGATGTAGTCTATTCTGCTTTTTCCTGCTGTCTGCACCAAACTCTCCACTGTACAACACGTCTCCTTATGAAGCCCTGCAATGCATTGGCTGAAAGTAATGTTTTTTTCTTTCTTCCAAGTCCTGCTGCAGCAGGATCAGTTGCTTAAACTGATGCACTGTACAGCACAGTGGAGAGGTTTGAATGGCTGGAGGGAGGGAATGGCAGAAGGAAGGCAGATCTGATTAAGGAGCAGTGCCAACAAGTAAGAAATGATAGCCTTATTTGACGCCTACTTTGCAAAAGTTTGTGGCATAGTGTAGTAATACTTCTAATTATGAAAACCAATTTTTAAGAGTAAGTTTCAGTGCCTGAAATGAGTTCTAATTGTGTTTTCTGTACATGAAGCCAGGTAGCCTTCCCTACATTACCTCATGAATGTGCAACACCTGTATTCTGGAGTCATCACATCTAGATTTGACACATAATATTGTATTCGTTTGCATTCATTCAATAGTCTTTCTTCTAAAGCTTCTTGCCTGTCTGGAGTAGTTTGTAGAAATCGCACACACACACAAAGCGTCACAGTAATGATCTTATGAAATAATGGATTTCTTTTCAGATGACCCCCCCAAAAATCAAGTCCTGTATGAAGGCAGAGGGGGATGTTTAAAAGTGCTTGAAGAATCTACAATAGAAAACTGGAGGAAAGAAATGAGACTGCATATTCCTAAATCTGAATTACCAATCCAATGACATGGTGGCTAAACCTGCTCCTGTGCCACCTCAAGTATTTATCTCCGGAGTGGGTTTACAGCACAGCATCAGTGTGTACAAGCAGCACTGAGATCACTGAAATAATTTAGTCGGTAGATTATAACACCAAGCATCTAAGTAGTATAAGACCAGGACCGAGGTACCTGAGCACAAATTCATAAATAAAATATATTGTAATGTAGACATGGAGAAAGCTTTTCTCAAGGAAGAGCCTGGACAACCATGAGTTAATGTAATGTGTAGAATCACAGAGATCCCAGAGGGGCTGGAGGTACTGATGCAGTATAAACTGATAAATAAATTGTTAAGCCAGCCAAAGTCTCCAGCAAGCAACCTTACCACATGTTGCTATACTGAAACTTCTGTGACTAATTTTCAGTTTGTACAAGATGGAAGACTTTGCTGATACTTGTTTTTTATTAATGTAACTCCCAATTATAAGGTTCCTAAACTCAAAATTGTCCTTTATTTGAGAATTAAAAGCACACACATTCTCTGGATACAGTCTACACTCCTTTGATTATTGCTTTTGCCCATCCAGGATTAATAAACTAAGAGATGTTTGAGGTTTCCCTTTGGTCTTTCTGAATAATTGATTCCTTTATTACACGTTTTACAGGTCTGTGATTCAAGCTGTTGACCTAGGTGCCTTTTCTATGAAACCAGTCTTAAAATGTGCACCCTCCTAGAGTCATCAGTGGGTCCATCTTCTCTTTATAGTTCAGTGCATTTGGTTAGGCTGCTTTTCATCCGTTAACAGTTACTGTTATGAATGCTATAACAAAATACATTGTCCTCACTAGAAATATACGTATTTGTATTGCTAGAAGTCCACGAAGGAGCCAATGAATGACTGGGAAAAGTAATATTAGCAGACTTGGGGTTTCACTGTGTTTCTCAGACAGTCATAAAACATGTTTTAAAAAAGTTTTCTTAACAAGTTGGAAACATCACTTGAGTCCTGCCTCCACTACTGTCTAGTGCAATTATATCTTTCATGGCTGCTCCTATTACACAAGAAGTCTCTCCCTATACTAAATATACCTCAAGTGTTTTCATTCAGATTACAGAGATTAATAGAACAACACACAAATATGTGATTACTGTTGCTATACATGCAGTAGTTTAACAGAACAATGAAAGAAAAGTAATTCTGTTCCTGGCACTGAGCCCTGAACAAGCTGTTAGCAACCCTTGAACTATGAACCACTTGGTTTTTAGTGATAGCTTCCCTCTTCTTCCTTCACTGGTTTTAAAATTGCTTGTTATCCTGTGACTAAACTGCCAGGACATGAATGATACTGGGCAGAATTCAGACAAAGAAAGAATTCTGTCTATCTAATAATTTCAGAATAGCTTTCATTAAAAAACTATCTTTAAAGGAATAGTCTCAAAAATACATGTCAGATCTGAGTGGTCCAAGCCCCTCAGTACATGATACTGCTCAGGGAAAAGAATTTCAAGTGTTTGAAATACAGTTTGGGCCTAGATACCATATGTATAATGGTCTACAGTTCAATAGATTTCACTGGAAAGAATAAGCTCCAATTTATTAAAGACATGCTTTTGCTAAATAAATCCATTTAGTTGCATTTGAGCATTGCATTCCATAAATCCTTATCCAGTTTTCCTTCAGTCCCTTCCTTTAAATAATAAGATTGAACAATAAACACTATCCATATGTTCTTAATTTTATGGATATTTTAGTTATTTATATTATGTCTATGGATAACTTGTTAAATTTTATTTTTGAATATCATTATCTTCTCATCATTTACACAGAAGATGACTCAGAAAGTAAGTGAAATATCTATGCTAACATTGTCAAATTAATTTTTGTGTGTCTCTGAAAAAGCCAGAAGTGTCCTGAAGTATCTATTCTTATAATATCTTAAATCAGGCAAATGGTAAAAGTGAAAGTATCTGTGTAAGAACCAGGCAGATACTATGTTTATTTATTAAAATCATAAAGTTATCTAACAGGTTATTCACATTCTGCGTGAAACAATCCACATGCACCCTTCAAAATTTTCAAGGTGGAGAAATAACAAACCATGCAGTTTTCTTATGGGCTGGATTTTTTCTTTTACAACACTGGTATTAGAATTATTTTCCTGCTAAAACCTTGAAAAAGCTGACTACCGAGATTTTCGTTCCATTAAAACTGAAACACTGGCACACAAACATGTATTTGATTAGAGTTGGAATAAGCGCGAGGCTAGCAAATGGAATCTGTAAAATGACCAAATACCATAATTTTTTTATGCTAATCTTTTATTTGAGAGGCTGTAATTTGGGAATAATATCTTCCTTTGTGCCAAGCACAGCAATAGCTTCTCAAATGCTAAAATCTGGATTAAAAACTCTGCTCTAAATCACTCATGTTAATAAGACTAGCTGTCTCACATTAGGCCAGTAAAGATATTTGTCCAAATCAAAAAGGTGGGGCTCCCATGGAAGGAGAAACAGAAACAACAGGGTTAGTGGCACCACTTCAGCACCAGCTAGAGATTATTTTCTGCAGCTTTAGAAGTAAAAAGTGTAGCTGTTCTGTGCTGATGTCGTCAGAAAATTACCTCAACTCAAACTACCACTGTCCTGAGGAGGAAAGGAGTACAGAGGGAGTGCATGCAGGAAGATTCTAAAGAAATGAGTCATCCTAACTCCCTCTCTTAGTATTTGGGAAGTTGTTTTGCAAAATTCTGGTGTTCTTTTTCTGGAAGTGAAGTGATGTTTAGGTTACTATGCTCTGATGAAATTCCAAATTGGCTAATGCTGCGTTCGATTTACCCTAAAAATAAAAGGATGGATAAATATTAGTTTGTTGTGAAGACAATCTAAAATGAAATCTTTTTATTGAAATTTCTCATGCATTTGTGCACAGAGGTTAATTTCACAAAGAAAAACCTATACTGTTATGTGCTGAAATGCTTTGAAGTATTTTTTTACAGCTATAGATTATCTTTTTGTAACTGACATTTACCTTGTTTTTCCTGGCATGTTTACACTATTTTTTAGTGCTTTAAAAATATTTGAATAAGAAATAGAACTCCAAAAAGAAAAAGAGACCCCCAAACTGTCACTGTTGTAATTCAAACTGGTAAATGCAATGTAATGCAGAGTTAATGGAGATATCTAAAGAGATATCCAGTCAAAACTATCCATGGGTCCTAAGCCAAGGAATCCATGAATGTTGGTTCCACAAAAGTAGGTATTTCCAAGGAAAGGAGTGACTTCCTCAAAGCTGAAAATAGCCTCCAGCATTTAGCACCTGCTCAGAACCTGCCTCTTCTTTAAACTGTAATCTACTAGTTTAAACTATGATAATTTGTGTTTACAGGTCCTAACTGACTAATATGTAGGATTTGTTTTCCTTTTTTCCATTCCTTCCAACATTTATCATTCAGCTATTGTGTCATTTTCCTTAGACTATTATTTATCTGTAGCAATGACTGTCATTTTT